AAAATGATAGACTTGCTTCCTTCTTTTTGAAAAAATGTCTGAGGAATACCCAATTATGAATGACCATAATTTATCTGTCAGTTGTGTTTTCAAATTAAAATGTTATTTCATGCATGAAGCAGCTAGTTCAACCCTCAATTCAAGCAATCACACAAGTGCTCTTCTCATTTCATCACCCAGAATATTATAAATACATTGACTCAAGGTTAAAGTTTAATGAAAGTAAAGATTTTTACTGCTTTATTAAGTGAAACTGGATTTTTTTTTTTTTTTTTTTTTTTTTTTTTGTTTTCTTTTTTGCTGCAAGTGTGGTGGTAAACACAATAACCACTAGTCAGTTTTGTGACAGTGCTTTAACTTCTGTTGCTAAAGCACCAGCAATTTTGCTCTCTGTGGCTTTTGCACCATCAGTGTAAGTGTCAACTTAAATGAAAATAGTTTTGTCTTTCCAGAAAGTAAACTACACTTTGAGAACCACTGTAATATGCTTATACTGCTATTGCTTGGTATGCTGATGTGAGCTAGTTTCTACTGACTTCTTGTTCCGTAAGATGGGGGTTTAGCACCCCTACACTAAACCAGCACTCCACTGTTCTTTCCTTTATCACCTCAATATAATCATATCTCAGTTTAGAAAAGTATTTAATGTTTGCCTTCTTGTTACTACAGGAGTATTATTCACTACCAAACCTAGTAGTTTGCTGGTTTCCTAGTAGTTTAAATGTTTCCTTGCTCGTACAACTTTTTATTTTGACTTAGAGTCGATTACTGTCTTGTTTTCTTATGTGCTTAGTTCTTTGGTCTTATCACAAATTTGTCTCAATTCTCCAAAAAAATTGTGAAACTTCTCCTATATATTCTCTTCCACACAGTTAAGCCTCCGGTGATACAACAGGCCCATTTATTTTTCCCTAGAAAAATCTCTTCTGAAGCCCTCTTCCTCCTGCTCCCACATGGAGCAGCTGCTCACTCAGCCTGCAATTCAGCCTTCATCCTGGAATATCCCCAAACTACTCAGAAGAGGCGAAAGTTCATTTTCCAGGCTGGTTGGTTAGCTCAGTTGGTTAGAATGTGCTGTTATAAGACCAAGGTCAAGGGTTCAGACCCCTGTGCCAGCCGATGCCAAAAAAGAAATAAAAATTAATTAATTAAAAATAAGTAAAAGTTCATTTTCCAAACTTGTAACCAGTTCCCTGTCTTAAGATCTGTGTCTTCTTCCCCGTCGTTAACAACCTGTGTCTCCATATCCTAAAACTTTCTGGGATTGTTACACCAGTCAGCTTCTTCTTTCACTGAACACCAAATAGGTACTTGGTTTTCACATTTCTCAACTCTCCTGGCTCCTCAATCTCCTATCCATCTTCCAAAGGTCTCGAGGTTCTCAGGTCTGCTACTGTCTCCCCTCCTATTCTTTTTGTCCTTGTGGTTTTGTACCTTGTAAAATTTCTTTTATTCTCACTTTAGAGGCATTTCAGGAGGGGACTAAAAGTAAGCACATGTGCTCAATATGTCATGTTTAATTGGACACCCAGTATTTGGATTTGGAACTGCACCTGTTCTGAGGGTTTGTTCATACAAGCTCCTTGGGGTCTTGTGAGATTTATGCTTTGGAAGATTTATGAACTCATTTCAGCAGCTGCTTGCGCTGCTGCTGTCACAACAGAAATCAAAGACTGGTGTAAAATTTGATGAAGCAAATAACAAATACTTACAAAATATTGACTACTAATTTTTTCCATCATTTGGTCACGTTCTCTGAAGTGAGCAAACCAGCCATCCGAACCCATATAGGGATCCGAACCCGTAGCCTTGGTGTTATCGGCACCACACTCTCTCAAGTAAGCCACGGGCCAGCCCTCACATTTGGTCTTTCAGCAAATCTGTCAAGCATTTATTTTCTGAGTACCGACCATGTGCCAGGTGCTGGGATTGTTGTGGTAAATAAAACGGGTGAGGTCCTCTAATGCACTTTATAATCTAGTGAAGGGAGAAAACAATAACCAAGTAAACATGTATATAATTTCAGATAATAATAAGTGCTATGAAGAGAACAAAAGAGAGTAATGTGATAGAGTGACTGAGGATAAGAAGACTGCATTGAGCAGAGGGTCAGGGAAGGCTGTTCTGAGGAGATGACATTTGAGTGCGGATCTGACTGAGAACGACCTATCTTCGTCAAGATCTTGGGGAAGAGGATTTCAGGAAGTATGAAAATTCCAAGATGGAGAAAGGCTTATTGTGTTCCCAAAATAGAAAGAAGGCCAATGTGATTGGAACGTAAAGAAGGGAAGAGTGATGGGAGATGGGATCCCGAAGTCAGAGTTGGGAAGGCAGATTTGGGTGTTATCCCAAATAGAGGTGATATTCAAAACTATGGGATGAGGTAAGATGGCCAGAGGAGGTGGTAGATAGAGAACTGTGCTGGGCGTTCTGAGTGCTACAAGAGCATATAAGGCATGGCCCATACCTTCAGCGAATTTACAATGTAGTGAAATTTGCGAGACAAGACAAACTTTCAAATTAGACAATAATTAGACAGTGTTTAATCAAGTTTTGCATGACATCATACAGGTTTTTTTTAAAAGCAAGGTTAGAAAATGTAACAATCATTGAGAATTGATGGCAAAAGGTAGCTTTGTGTAGGAGGTGATATCTCAGGCAAATTTTGCCGAAAGGCAGAGGAAGAGAATCTCAGATAGAGAGAAGGAGCAGAGACTTGAATGAGGGGGTGACTATGACATATTTATGGAACGGTAGAGAATAGCTTGGCTGTTGGGAAGTAGTTGAATAGGTGGGTTTTCTTAAATACACTTTAGAATCTTGCTTTATAGGGCCGGCCCGGTGGCGCGCTGGAGAGAGCTCCGCTTGGGAGCGCGGCGGCCCTCCCACCGAGGGTTCAGAGGCCACCGAGGGTTCGGATCCCATGTGGAGACCGGTTCCCGCTCACTGGCTGAGCGCGGTGCGGGCACAACACTGAGGGTTGCGATCCCGTTGCCGGTCAGTAAAAAAGACAAAAAGGAAAAAAAAAAAAAGAATCTTGCTTTATAAATGCTGGGAGGGAGGAATTAAAGCACTGAGTGGTTAGATCTGAAATTACAGTAAAGTTAGCACTGGCAGGACTCCTTAATTTTTGACATTTTGAATAGTTGTAAGACCTCCCCACTTAATTACTTTTTATTAATGTTGATTAATAATTATTTTTAGAAATGAAAATAATGTAAAAGTGTACACCGAGACATCTTACTCCTATCTGTCCTTATTCATCTTGTTTCCCTTCACCCCAATAAGTAGCCACTTTTGATTTTCGTTTAATTCTTTCAGTTTTCTCTATGCAAATGCAAACTACGTGAATCTTATTTCTTGCCCCCGCATCTGTTTCCTAGGGCTGCTGTACACATTATCCAAACTGGATGCTTTTGTTTGGTTTGATTTGGTGGCTGGCCAGTACAACGCAAACTGCATGTTTTAAACCAACAGAAATTTATTCTTTCACAGTTCCAGAGACTAGAAATCTGCAATCAAAGTGCCACCAGGGCTGTGTTCCATCTGAGACTCTGGGTAGAAATCTCCCTTGCCTCTTCCTAGCTTCTGGTGTGGCTGTCAATCATTGGTGTTCCTTGGCTTACACGACGTCATTCCAATCTCTGCCTCTGTCATCACATGGTGTTCTCCCTGTGTGTCTCTGTCTTCACATGGGGATTTCCTCTTATAAGGACCCCAGGCCTATTGGATTAGGGCCCACTCTAATGACCTCACCTTAACTTGATTACATCTACAAAGACTATTTCCAAATAAGGTCATATTCACAAATCGGGAGGGGGGAGTTAGGACTTCAACATATCTTTTAGGTGGACACAATTGAACCCATAACAACTCATTTCTCACACAAGGCTAGCACCCTAAATGCACTATTCTGGATCTTTTCTTTTAAATTTTAGCTATTCATCTCGGAGTTCTTTCCATATCAGTACATAGTGATTTTTTTCATTTTCTTTTTAGAGCTACATAGTGTTCCATTGTGTGAATATACCGTTGTTTATGGCACTAGGCCCCTAATAATGGACACTTAATTTGTTTCCAGTCATTTGCTATTTCAATAAGTAGCCTGTAGCTTTGCGCAGTGGCAGTATCGTAGCCAATGAGGTTTATCCAAGGCGCGATTATTGCTAATTGAAAACTTTTCTCAATAAGTAGCCTGTACATTTGTCATTTTGGATTTATGCAAGTATATCTGTATGATAGATTCCCACAAGTGGGACTGTAGGGTCCAAGAATAAATGCATATGTAATTTTGGCAGTACTGCCTGATTCCATTCATAGAAGTTACACCATTTTACATTTGGACCAGCAATGTATGACAGTGGTCAAATTCTTAGACTTTTTCCAATCTGTTATATGAGAAACGTTATTTCCATTTAATTTTAATGTCCATTTCTTTTATTATACACATTCACATTTTAAACATTATTTTATATGTTACTTTGTGTAAACTTTTGACTAAAAAAACTGTGTTATAATAAAACTTTCTAACTTCAAATATATAAAATTGAAGTAAAATAACATAACCAATAGAAACGTGTTTCACTTGGGTTATTTGCCAGGGTTGGGCCACTCCTCTCTGAATAAGCTAAACTAGCACTTATTCAATGCATGCTATAGAAAGCTGAAAGTCATTTTAGGGAAAGCCAAGTTCCACATCAAAGACCCTGCTCTTTGTGCTTGGCTGTATTTGCTTTCTCATTCTCAGTTGAGAAACAGTTTCTCAGTTGTATCATTCTTAATAGGAGCCACTTTCTAATTTCTTGAGTAAGGTGTCAATGTTGTTTGAATACTGCTAACTCTTTTCATTGTTACAATCAGATAATACCACAATAATGGACTGTTTAATGTTCTGACTCTAAGTTAATCACAGTTTTCTTCTTAGGGAACATCTGGAGCCATCTATGTTATTAAGTCTGATCTTTTAGTCATGTCCAACGGCCACATTCCCTTCCTTATAGGTGGTACTGCGAAGGCAAAGAGCTCGAAAATTCCCCAGACGTTCACATCATCCAGGCAGGAAATCTGCATTCGCTGACCATTGCAGAAGCTTTTGAAGAGGACACAGGACGCTATTCCTGCTTTGCTTCTAACATCTATGGGACAGATTCAACTTCTGCTGAGATTTATATAGAAGGTAAAACAAAATACACTTGGAGCAGATGCTTACTAGTAAGACATACAGTTATGATAAATATTTATTGAGGGCTTACTCTACCACACACTCTTCTAGGAGTGTGGATACAGCAGAGAACCAGGTAGACAAAAATCCCTAGGCTCATATACTGATAAATTTTCATTATAATGGGAGAGGCAGAAAATAAATGAGACAAACAAATATAATACATAATATGATAGGCATATATAAGCACTATGGAACAAATAGCAAGAAAAAGGGATAGGAATTGTAAGTATGTATATGTGTGTGTGTGCATGAGAGAGAGAGAGAGAGAGAGAGAGAGAGTGTGTGTGTGTGTGTGTGTGTGTGTGTGTGTGTGTGTGTGTTAGCTGTAATTTAGATAGGGTGAGAGGGAAAACCTCACTAACAAGGTGACATTTGAGTGAAAATCTGGAGGAAGTGAGGAGGTGAGCCACAAGTATATTCAAGGGAAAATCACTCTTTGCAGAGAAGTCAACAACTGCAGTGGCCATAAAGGTGGGAATGTGCTTGCCTTAAGATACAGAGTTGAGCCATTATGGCCAGTGCAGAGCAAGCAAGGAAGAAAATCACAGGAGATGAGGTCAGAAGTTCAAGAGAGGGTGGGCGTGGAGAGAGGCAGGTAAGCAGATAATATAAAATCTTGTAGGTCATTGAAAGATTTTAATCTGAGGGAGATGGGAAGTTTTGGAAGATTCTGAGCAGAGACATGACATGATCTGACTTAGTTTTTAACAGAGCCACTCTGGCTGCTGGTTGAGAATATACTGCATGGAGTCAATACAGAAGTGTGGAGACCAGTTGTGAATGTTGGAAAGGCATTTACATCAGCACCAAACTTGTATGATTAATTGTAGGGAAAAAATCAATTTATGTTCCTAATATATCCACCTAAGTTTTTGTTTCTATCTTACCTCATCCTTTAGAGAGTTTTTTCTAGGGACCATTCTTTAGCACTTTTTTCACCTACAATACCTTATGTTTGCCTTGGTTTTAGCACTTAAACATTGCATTATTATAATATAAATGCCCCTTTACAAACCAGATTATAAGGCCAGGATTGTCTCATTCTTTATATCTCTAATACCTTACACAGTACCAAGGGCATAGTGAGTACTTGATAAACATTTATTGAGCAAGTATATGAATAGAAATGTGTTGTATGTTTTTATCCTCAAATTTTTGGAGTACAATAAATAACTCCAGATTTAGCTCTGTAATATCTTCCTGGAATTCACTATCTTGAGATGTAAATCCGGGACCAAAGCCTGCTAACAGTGCTGAGATTGGATTACAGGGGTTTTTTTCTTTGTGACAACAGGGCTTCAAATACCCCCACTCCAAAGATGAAGTATGACTTGTTAATATTAGGACCGGACGGAAGAGTATCCACCTACACCTACAATGTTTGGAATCCAGTGTAATCTTCTTTTTTTTTTTTTTTTTAAATTCAATCTGTGTAGGCCAAGAGCAAGAGGACTTGTGATTATCAATGAATGCCTGCAAAAACTGCTCTGTTAGTCCAAAGGCATCATCAGGGGTTTCACATGCAAGAACACTTAGAAGTTGGGCCAGTTAATTTGAACTCTATCACTAACCAGCCATGTGACCTTCAGCAATTTCTTCAACTTCTTAGGGTCTATTCCCTCACTTGTCAAATCAGGTGTTAGTGTAGGGAATTGCTGGATTCATTTCTAAGTCTAAGATTCTATAGGTCTTCAAGTGCCTAGGAACCAGTTTAAGAAATTACCATCTTAAAATAAAATAAAATAAAATAAAATAAAATAAAATAAATAAAAATAAAAAGCGTTAAATAAGAAAAAATTTAAAAAATAAAGACAGAATCAACTGCCTCAAAAAAAAAAAAGAAAGAAAGAAAGAAAGAAATTAACATCTTGAAAATCTTATATTGTGTTTTTATTTTTCCAGGGGTTTCTTCTTCTGACTCAGAAGGGGACCCCAACAAGGAAGAGATGAAGCGGTAATTTTAATTTTCTATCTTATAGTCTTAGCATCTTCAGATCCTGATAAAGCTATTAATTGGTTACCAGAACTTGAAGACAGTGGCTCAAGGCCATGACCTCAAAAAAAAAAAAGAAAGAAAGATAGATTGAGCCTATTGGGAGAAGACTTTACTTCTTTTGCTTAAGTCTTGCCTGCAGATTAATTTGAATATTCTCAATATTTAAATAAAGTATCACCTATGAAATATCATACTTATATCTACAAAGTAAAAAACAAATAACCTAGTGGTTGAAAAAATTCACATTTTCTAACAATAATAGTACTCAGAAGAGCACAAAATGTAGTGACGCTAAATTTTACATATATACCTCTACAAGAGTACTCCAAAAAGTTCATGGAAAGGCTGGCAGGCTAGCTCAGTTGGTTAGACAGTGCTATTCTAACACCAAGGTCAAGGGTTCAGATCCCCATACTGGCCAACTGCCAAAAAGAAAAAAAAAAGAGTTCACCCAAAGATTTGCATTATCCTTTAATTCTATTTTTCCATAAACTTTTTGAAGTACTCTCATAGAGGTATATTTGTAAAATTTAGTATTATTTAATATATGTAGTAATTTTCATATGTATATGTAAATGAGTGATCTCAGCAAGTCATACCTTTTTGCTAAACAATTGTACTGAATATTGAACAAAGTTGCATCTGTCCGTTCATTACTTTCCACAACCATTGACTAAGCACCTGCTCTCCACCAGGCATTGCACTAGATGCAGTGCACACTGAGAAAAATCAGATGCTTCCTGCCTTCAAGAGGTTCACAGTCTAGTAGAGGAAAAAATATAGCAAGTATGGAAGGAAATGTATACCAAGAATATAGACAGAGTATGATGACCGTGTACAGAAGGTATAGGACTTGACACAAAGGATTATTTATTGATTGGCAAGGGAAAGAGAGATCAGGAAAGGCTTCACAGAGTCAGTGAGTCTTAAAGGAACAGTAGGTGGACACCCCCAAAACAATGGAGGAAGGGCATTCCAGGCAGAGGAGACTGGACAGAAGGCATGGGAACTGGAACAGACACAGTAACTATTCTTTTAGATTACCTGAAACAAATGGCAACTCTTGGAAGACTGGTTAACTATGTTTGCATGTTCTATCCTCCCTACAGAAGATAAGCTCCTTAAGGGCAGAAATCATGTCTTATTTTTCAAAATCCTTTGCATGTGCCTGCACTTGAATGATAATTTGCTTTTAGCTCTTATGCAGATATGAACACTCATAACCAGAATAAATGATTCTTCCTTTACCACCCTTCCTTATCATTCTCATGGCCTTGGTTCAATTCCTCCTTCTTTCCTGTTTTTATACCAACCACGTTGAGGTCTTCCTGTCTGTTCCAGCCTTTTTCTCTCTTTTATAGTCTCCAAACTACAATCAGTTCTTCTCTAAAAGATAATTCTGATCCTATCATATTCCTGACTTAAAAAAGATTATTACCTATGAGAAAACAAACAACATTTTTAAAAATCTTAATGTGGCCTACATACACAGCCTTATTCAGTAGAGTATCAACCAGGCTTTCCTGTCCATTCCTCCATTCCCCACCTCAGGCATCTACACCACTGACATCTCACAAGCACCATGCATGGTTGATTTTTACCCCTTTGTTCAAGGTGTGCACTTTGCTAGCAATGCCCTATCTCCTTCTCTGCCTGGAAAACTATCCTTCAAAACCCAGTCTAAATGTTTTCCCTCTTTGAGTGCTGTAATAAACTTCTTTATTGCACACTCATCAGTCCTTCCTTCCAGCTCCCCTAACATGTGTTACAAACTTAATGGATATGAATTTTGATATACAAACTTAAATAAGCAAGAAATATTCCATATATTTATCTGCTTTAAATTTACTTTTAGTAGTTAGGATTTAGCTTCTGTTGTGAACAGAAGAGATCCAAATATACTGTGACTTAAATGAGACAGAGATTTATTTCTCATTTACGTAAAAATCTGGATTTGGCTTCACATTCCACTAGGTTCCAGTCTGCTTTCAGCTTTCTGCTTCATCTCATGCTAAGATGTTGCCCTCATCTTCTTAGTCTAATATAGGAAGGAATAAATGGCATGTCCATCCCCCTTTTAAGGTCATCTTTCCTAAGATGCATACATTACAATCCCTCATATCCCATGGTCAGAAAGTACTCATGTGGCCACACCTAGTTGCAACAAAGGTTGGTAAATGTAGTCTTTACTTGGAGTATCCATGTAAATAAATCAGAGATTCTATTATTGTAGCAGAAGAAAACAAATGTTTTGGAGATGCTGGTAGTCTTTGCATCACAGTGTAATTCTGCTTCTGAGACCCCACCTGCCTGGCTGGGAAGAATTTTATTCTGTCATTATTGGGTGTCCCTTTCCCCCTCCACAAAGATACCTGGGATATATATTGAGCAAAGTGGGAACAAACACCTTTCATGATAATTCTTACATAAATTATCTCATTTAACCCTCACAAACATCCTACAGGGTAAGAATTATTTCCCCATTTTAGAGATGAGAAAGCTGAGCCGGAGGGAGGTAACATCCAGACCAAAGGGAGTCCCTCTGTTGTCAGTCATCTATCCCCATGGGTTATGGTGAGAGTCCCATGGCCCAGATCTCAAGGTCCCTTCAGGTCCATGCTTGTTGCTTCCTGACATACTTAGGTACTGATACCTTTAGCAAGACTAGGAACTCTTTACCAAGAGGCATTGCCTACCACTCTGAACTTAGATTCTCCCTCCTGTCAGGTTTTCTGGCAAGGCTCACAGATCTCTCTCTCTCTTTTCCACAACAAAACTAAAATAATCTCCCCTCTGCAACCTTCTCAAGAATACTTCCTGGCTCTCTTACCCTTCAAATAATCTCTGTAATTTAATTTGTGTAAACTTGAAGAGCTTGTTGACTTCAGACTGTTTCTGCTTTCTGCCATGCCCAATCCCAGAGGTAAAGATTTACAAAGCCTAGTGTCTTACTTGAAATGGGAGCAGTAGGGAAAATACAGAGGGCAACAACAAAGTAAATCTCAAAAAATTATCTTCTGCACATACTCCTATCATAGAGCTTGTCTTGGATCTCAGTTGGTAATATATTTGACTCACTGGCTACTAACCCAAGCACGGAATGGTGTCTCATTCATCTTCATGTTTGCATTGCCTAACAAAGTGTGCAGCAAAGTAGCCCTCAGTAAACATTTGTGGAATATTGTCAAATGAAGATTTTTATTATACCCGATTGTAAACAGTGGTAGCATTACTAGTTTTGCTGGAAGAATTTTTGTAAACAGTGGTAAGTCTGTTTTATCATTTATATTCTAATAATTTCTCAGAATCCAGAAGCCAAATGCGGTGTCATCCCCTCCCACTACCTCTGCGGCCATTCCTCCAGCAGGAACCCAAGCCCAGCCCGTTGTGTCAATGATCCAACAGGTACAAGAATCAAAGCAAAACACCAGACAGAGGCTTGGACTGGGACAGATAGGCATTGTCACCATGACCATCTTGTATGGCGTGATCAGGTTCTCCTCTTGGGCAACTCCACCATCCTGATGACCACTTTGTACTTCTGATGTATCAGATCAGTAGTTCCTATTGCTTTGGAAACATACTGTCCAGCTCACAGGCGAATTTCTCAGGAAAATAAACTCTTTACAAATTAGTCTCTGATATTCCTGCTTTATACAGAGTGCTGGTTGCATGTAGTGAGCTGCCAGCTCTCAGACTGGCCCAGGATGAACACTCTATATCATAACATTCAGTTTCACGGAGCTGCAGAGAATTCTGCTTTCTAAGATGGAGCAAAGTATGAAGTTATTTTTCTGAAAACAGTAAAGGCTCTCAACCTCCAAGTTAGTAATAATAATAATACATGCTTTTATTGTAAAAACATTCAAAAAGTTCAGAAGTATATTAAGTAAAAATTTTAGTCAAGGTTCTACTCTCAAGCCCTCACTCAGGAGAGTCAGTAGTTTCTAGAGGATATTTCCAGACATTTTCTATGCATCTATAAAATATATATTTATGCATACACTTTAAAACATATGAAATTGTACTATCTAAATATATTTGTGAGTTGGCCAGTTAGCTCAGTTGCTTAGAGAGTGGTGTTATAACATCAAGATCAAGGGTTCAGATCCCCATAGGCTAGCTACCAAGCACAAAACGAATATATTTGTATCATGTTATTGATATATTTATCTATTAATGATAAATATATTTAAATGTATTAATCTTCAACCTTTTAAAAAAATTCAGAGTTACTTATCTAACCCATTCAGTAATGGGGGGGGGTCAAGGTTTAGTTCTAATCCATTGATTTTCAAACTGTGATTTGTGTAGCCCCAGGACCCTCTTCAGGGGGTTGCGGTTAATTGCATAGATCTATATGTGAGGGTGCAGAGTGGGGATGGACAGCACATATTTTGCAACCACTATCAAATAGAAAAATACAATCATTTCCTTCTAAAATTTAAAGGCTGTGATTCATAAACTTAGAAAATTTGTCTTTTGGTTTGAAACTAATTTCATATACAAAATTCTATAGATTTGTTATATATCTCTATCCATCTAATAATTTTAGTGACAATATGTCTATTGTTCGTTTCTTCCTCACAGTGTCAGAGCCCTACCAATTACTTACAAGGATTGGATGGAAAACCCATCATTGCAGCTCCTGTGTTCACAAAGGTAATCAAAATATTATTTCTTTCTGTCATGGCTTTAAAGACACCACAGCACCACAAAAAAATTTGGTTTGGGATTTACTGATCCAAGATCTACTGGTTTTTATCTTAGGATTTTGGTGTCTTATACAAGAACAGTATAGGCTTTTTTTGATAGTTGTTATACTCCCAGATTTCTAATGATAGGTTTTGTAATGAGAGAAATTATTTCCCCACTCACCACTCTGATCTCTGTGGCCATTCTATGGCTGTTCAACACAGTAGCCATGCCTAGAGGTCAGTTGACAATTTTCTAGCCGCTTACTACTCCAAAGGTTTCTCTGGACTTTTGGAAGAATCAGGTTGCAGGTACCTGTCTTTGGCACTCAAGGAGATGGAGTTAAATGCTCTTAGGAGGTTTAATATAAAGCCTCAGTCTAGGACAAAGAGCTTTCTTTTTCTATTCCATGGTGTCAATTATTGTGGTAGCATCAAATTCTGAGTCTCATAGTCTTTGTATTTAGAACTGGAAATTTTAGCCAGTCACTTTCATTTGCAAGTGAAAAAACCAAGGGAGACCCAGAGAGATTAAGCTATTTAGCCAATGTCACAGGACTAGTTAGTGGCAGAATCAGGACTAAAAATAAGTTCTCCCAATTCATAATCTATTATTCTTTCCTTTATATGACATAGACTGTATTTTTATGTTGTCCAAGATAATAAGTTCAAAGGTAAAAAAACTGAGTCATGTTGGATTTTTTGGTTTTATGAAAACCAAATAATTGGAATCTATGCCTGGATTTACAGTTTATTGTTTATAGGAACATCAAACTTAGGCCTGAAGAGATTTTATTCTCTAAGAAATATGCTTTGGTTTAGAGCAATGGTTATTAATCATGGTTAATTTTGCTCCTCAAGGGTCACTGGCAATGTCTGGAGACATCTTTGGTTGTCACAACTGGGGCGGGGGGGGATTATGCTACTGGCGTCCAAGGATGTTGCTAAGGAACAACAAATGATCCAGCCCAAAATGTCCATAGCGCTGAAGCTAAGAAATCTGGTTTTCAAGCAAAATGGCAAAAATGGTCTTTTCCAGTGGGTAATGACCCTTAAAGGAAGATCTAAATTCACAACCTCCACAGAAGCATCCATTTCAGGGAAGATCTGCCATATCAGGTCATCCAAGATGGTTTTCCAAAATCCAGCATGGAGTCTAAAGTGACCCATGTTTACCCAGATCCATATCAGTTAGGCAAACATTCTTACATAAAACAAGATGTCTCTTGAGTTTTTAGGTTCATTTCTTATAACCTGCATCTGGAGTTTTAGCTTTACTATTTCAAAGACTTGAAGTAGAAAAGCAACATGTTGTGACTTGGTGGATACAAGACTTTGATGAGGAGTTATAGGTGGACCTCTGTGTGTGTGTGTCCATGTGTAACATAGCTAATAGAGCTACTTATTGTCACTGCTAAGTCACCTAGCCTTAAAACAGACCTTAAGTGCCACAGAAATCAAATCACTTTAATTTGTCATGCCCTTTTGTGACTCAGAGACAGTGCTGACTCTTCAAAGGCAGCTAAACTGCGGAGTAGTTACTCCCAGTCCTAACCAAAGTCTCCTCCTCTCTTCCCTTCCTCAACACCATCTGCCCAGACAGACAAGTGACGCCAGAAAGATGTTCATATCTCCACTCAATTTCAGATCTTGTTGGGTGCTCGGTCTCCCCTGCATCGGTCACCTAGCTCATACCTCTGGTACAACATTATCACAACAATAAAGCCATGTACTTTTTTGTCTCTCCCAATCACCCTGAAGGCTATCTCTAATATATAGACAGGAAGCCATAAAAGTAGTAACAGGCCCAAAGCAATTTTAATTATTTCAAAAAGTTTAACAGGACTTTAACACTTTTTCCTTACATTTAAGTTTTGTGGGCTGATTAGACCATCAGGTTTAGCTGTTTTGTGCAGTGACTCTGATTACCTTCTTCTAACTAGATGCTCTGATTGGCAGATACATATGTCTTTGATAAATAAAAATGGAAAAATAAATTAATCATTAGCATGTGTCTTTTGTTAGATAAAATCTCTGAAAGCAATAGCTCCATGGTGGGAAAACCAGTCTTAATACACATATCTAAACTCTGACAGAGCTTTCTCAGCCCTCTGGACATGTGCTTTTGCCTCCTTAAATGGGATCGGGATTGTTCAGACGTAGGGCACTGGGGCAGGTTGTGGTTCAGATTCCAGGGAGATTTATCAGCAGTGGTGTGCTTGCGTTAGTTTCCGTCAGTAAGGGCAAGATTGAGGTCATAAGTCACTGCCAATGTCATTAGCAAATATCTAAGTCATAGCCACCATTGATGGTATCACGTGGCCGTGAGCCATGATAACAGATCATTTGCATATGTTTGTTCGGGTTATTCCTGCTCTATTTACTTCTTTAGGTTTTTCTCGGATTCTAACCCTTACGAATCACTTTCTATACCGCCCAACAAAGCATTTCTTTGCCAGTCATGGCAGGAAGCCTTTTTTTTAAATGCAATCATTGGAGAGCAGAGTTTTATTTAATTCGTTTTTGCTCCTTTGGTGGTAGGAAAGTAGGCGTCTTCTTTTTAAGGAAGGTTAAAGTGAAAAGGAAAGTTGCCCAGCAAAACAGTGGTAGAGTTTGAGAGAACACTATAGGATTTCACATACTAGCTCACTGCTCTATTCACGATACCTATGTTTTTAAATGCTCTTTAACTGTGAATAGGGATAGATGATCCTCCATTCTCGAGGCGGTATCAAAAATACTTTCACTTTGTTTATGTGGGGAAAACAGCGCTCACACTTCTGGAGTGAGAAGGGAGGTAGACGATCAAATTAGAATCTTACTCTTATCACTGCTCCCACTCCAACAGCAGCTGCTCTGGCAGACTGTCAAGGCTGCGGCAGCTCTGGCTCCAACTGCTTCAGCAGTAATTTGAAGAGTGCAAGGGGACAGGGGAAATGAGAATTTGAAGAAGAGCATTTCATTATATAATAGCAGAGGTAGGAAACTGAGATAACTGGGCCGGTAGCTGGATCCAGAGTTCTGAAAATTTTCATGGGTCCCTTTCTCCAACCCAGAGACTTTGCTGACTCACTGTTGCACGAGGCACCTGTGATAATCAGGGAGCAAAGGGACCTTCGGTCAGTTCATTATCAGTAAAAACTGCTCTGATCTGACTCCAGCCTAAAGCACCGTACACATTCACTTGCAGTAACTCCCAAGGTGCAAAAATATCGACTGGATTTAAAAGTAAATAAAAGGACAGAATGAACCTTATAGCTGACATCTCTTAACCAATAAGGGAACTGCTCTTTCTCAAGGGTGTCCCTGAGTTATATTTGTGTTAATTTGCGTTATATTGGTGTATTTATATATACAGTTCTACCAAGCAGGAACTGTATCCTTTCAACTCACATTTACAGCACCTGGAACAGTGCTTGACACAAAGCAGGCACATAGTAATATTTATTCTGTGATAAATAACTTTCATTTCACCTAAGGAGGAATTATTGTTTTCATCACTTTGTGGCTTGAGTGTCTCTAGTAGGAACAGAGAAAGAAATCCAATGTCGAATGGCTGTGGAAGATACGCTTCTCAAGACTCTGTGTTGTCAAGTCAGCCCACAAAGAATGTGCTCCCAGATGATCAGTATGGTGATGACACACAAGACAGATTTGCACTTTGGATACTCTATGCCTCAGGAGGTCACAGACCTTGGGTTATTGTGACTTCAGTCCAGATTCATAATTGCCAGTAAAGACTGTCTTAATCTTTGCTGGTTGGGAACTGTTTCATTTGTCTTATTCATCTTCAGTGACGTCAAGATGAATATGATTAAGTCTGTGCAGATCATGTCATCAGAAACAAACAGCCTAAGATCTACTGCTGTGATGAACATGGTCTCATCTACAGTATGTTCTAATGGTGTAGCTGGTTTGGACCCCGCTGTGTAAAATGTGCGGCAGCTCCATCGCATGAGACTTTGTAGAAAAGCACAGTTTCCAGCAATAACAACTATCATTGTCCTTAAAACTATGACTTTCAACAACTTTTTCTAAGTGGCTTGTAAGATGACCTTTGGCACCTCCTTTACTGAGTACCGCTGGTGTGCCGCACTGGGAGGAGTTTCCATCTCATATCACAGACATCAGTGGACTATTCCATGCACTGTAATATCTCAGGTATCTTGGCCAGACTCTCAGATAGAACACAGGGCTTTCAATGTGAAATAAATAATAATAACAACTGTATTAGTCTGTTTTGTGTTGCTATAACGTAATACATGGAGCTGGGTAATTTATGAGAAAATGAAGTTTATTTCCTACAGTTTCTTAGGCTGGGAAGTCCAAAGTCCAGGGAACACAGCTGGTGAGGGTCTTGGTGGTGGCAACGGTGACCCAGGGGTCTCACGTTGTAAGATGGTGGAAACAGAGAGTGCGGAGAGAGAGAGAAAGACAGACTCTCCTCTTCTTTTAAAGCCCTCAGAACCACGCACCTGACCACCATGTTAATCCATTCACTACTGCGCGATCCTATAGTCCAATCACTTCTTCAGGGCTCCACCTTTCAAATACCATAATAAGATTTCCCACCCTCTTAACAGTCACAGTGGGGGCTAAGTTTCTAATACATAAAACTTGGGGGAACACAAGTCAAGCATCACAATTCAAGGAGTTTTGGGGGGACATAATTCAATCCACTGCAACAACCAACTAGTGTTCTAAATTGTGAGCAGCATATTTTGTCGAGAAGATTTTTTGGCAAGCAGGGCTTGGGTGTAATCTCTGCAGATTGAGAATTGGCTCATATGTCTAAACTGAACTGCATGCCATGTCGGAGTATATAGATTGACTTCATTCTGCTTATATCCATTTACAAATGTGCCATATTTCATTTATATAACCCTTCTGCCACAACCACATTTTTTTGGTTTGGTTTGATTTTCTAATTTGTTTGCCTCAAGAAGGAATGAAAACTTCACTTTCTGTAAATTCCAGGGTGATATCTGACTGCCATTAAAGTTTTCAATAGGTCACAAAGCTATAATTTTAGCACAGAATTTGCTCAGAGAAGGACATAGTTCACCTCTTTGCCGGGAGCACCCAAGACTCATTATGCTTCTTGCTTTCCATTCTTGTCAGTAGAAGATGTTGCTTTGGGTAGACAAGGAATAACTAAGTTTTCGATCAAATAGCTCTTTATTAATTCAGAAGCCACTCTATGCTAATTCTGTCCTGAATCACTTCAGCAAACAAATTTGGGAACGTAAAAAGAGCAAAACACTAACATTGAACTACAGCGGCCCCTGGCTGTCACAATATCAACTGAAGCACTTCCCTGAGGTAAAAGTGTATCCCAGCTAAAGCCATGTGGTTATCCCCACCCCTGAAATCCTTAGACAAATCCTATACATATGATATGGCCATGCACAAAATATCCTAAGTTGTTCAGCTAAGAGCTTTTAAAAATCACGAAATATTTATGACAAAAGCAAAAAAATAAACAAAATATATTGGCTTTTCCTTTCAACTAAGAGCCAGTATTTCCTAAATGCAGGTGCAAAAATTGTAATAGGAAGCCTTGCAGAATTTGTTACTTACAGAATTTATGGAGGAAGTTTAATGTAACCTTTCCATGTTTACAGTCTTTGGACCAAAATGAAAAACACAAATATGCCCACACACTTGCCAAAGAAGCACTTCATAATCAAATGCAGTACTGCCTACACAAAAGAATGTGGGGTTTTATGCTCACAGATAATGATAAATGAGAAACTAATTGTGAAAGGAAAATGTGCACTCCATTTCCCATAGAGTCTAGTATAGAATACACTGATGTTTTACAATTCAACATGGTTTTTCTAAACCTTTTATCGTGGAAGTGTGGGAAAGCATTTAATGATTCCTATGCAAAATTACATTATTTTAAAATGACATATGACTCCACTTGTGACTATGATGTTATAAAGATGGTTGTTGTTTATATCCCTCACGAAAGGGATACTATCCTGTAAAGACCACATTAGGAAAACAAAAAATCCACTTCCAGGACTACAGAATGGAAATGAGACAAAGCCGGGAAGACAGGATCAGTTACTTGGTCCACAGAGCTGTTCCACCTCGTGAACCGCCACATTCTTTTGTGGAATAACACTTGACTCGCATGTTGAATACATCTAGTAAAAACTCACTGCAGACTTTTAAATTATTATTTCTGGAAACCAAACTAGGGCACTTAAGAACAGAGGTACCGTACCAAAAATTAGCTGCTTTAATCAGAATGTTTTGCCTGATATTTAATAAACCTACTAGCACTGCAACAGAGAGGTAAAGGAAGAAGACAGTGAGAAAAAAGCATTATATGGGCTCAGATGAGTCTGTCTTCAAAAGCAGACCCAATGTACATCTACAGAATTGAAGCTGCTGGAGATGTAGAAGGTTTGAAGAATATTCAAATATGAAGGAGATGGCGTCTTTTTAAAGTTCAGCACTGGAACTAGATTCCAGAAAAGTCAACTTTTTGGCTCTAACAATACTCTTCTCATTATAGATGCTACAAAATTTGTCAGCTTCTGAGGGTCAGCTGGTTGTCTTTGAATGCAGAGTAAAAGGAGCTCCATCTCCTAAAGTTGAGTGGTATAGAGAAGGGACCTTGATAGAAGACTCTCCAGATTTTAGGATTTTACAGAAAAGTAAGTTGATGCTTTAAAATTATTTTTCTGATAATTTATTTTTATAAACTTATTGTATACATTTATTTTATAACTTTTTAACAACTAATGAAAAATTAATCAAGAAGAATAAAATAAAAATCACCTGTAATCATACTCCCCAAAACTAAAACCTGTTAGCATAATTTGGTGGATGTTCTCCAAAAATTTTTTCATGTATTTTTTTAAATAAAAATAAATCGTGCTACTCTTTTTTATAAATTGATTTTTTACTCAACATTTCATAAACATCTTCCCATAGAGCTTTCTTTCTTTTAAAATAAAAATAATCATATCAATTTCATATTTATCTTATTGTTGAACATTTAGATTGTTCATAAATTTTTACTCTTATAAACTGTGCTTCATCATCATACAATATATGCCTATATTTAAACAAGCTGTACCCCATAAACATGTACAATGAAAAAAAATTAAAGAAAAGTAAAATAAATAAATAAACTATGCTTCAATGCATGTTAACAGAGCAATTTTTTTAGGAATATCTATAGTTATTGCCTTAGAATAAATTTCTAGTACTCGAATTGCTACTGTAAATTCACATTTTTTTTAGACTTTTAATATATTTTGCCAAAATACCATCCCAAAAGGTTGAGCTAAATTTAGGACAATCACAAAGTTGATCAGTCAAACTGAGACACTTAGGGGAGTGAAAGAGGGTGCTATAAATAATTACGCAAGGATCTCAGGCACAAACTAGGTCTGTCCCAATTGAACTGGAACACGTGTTGCCCTAGCTACATTTTGCTACAGCCAGTAATACATGGGAAGGCCTTCTGTCTCACACCATCACCCACGATGGTGCTAACCATTATTTTTAATCTTCATTAATTTTGTAGGACAAACATGGGCACACTGTTTTAATCTGCACTTCAATAATAAGTAGAATGGAACTTTTTTTCATATTTATTTAGGTCTTTGTATTTTTTAAAATTCCATATTGGGTTTTTGTTCTTTTTAATTGTAAGAATTATTTATATACTCAAGTGGTTAATTCTTCTTTTCTTATCACTTAATGCTTTCACCTTGTCCTGCAGTGCTTTCTCCTTGACCCATTGCAGCTGTAAAACACATTGCAACTTATTTGATTTTTTAAGTAGATGTTTTTATTAACTATACAGAACAATCTATTATGGAAAAGTTTGTGAAGGAAATTTCTAAAGTGTTGGTAGTCTTTCTCCGGGCTAGTGTCAATGGTTTTGCTTCCTTTTGTATTTTTTTCAGTTTTTCTATAGTGAACATATTTTACTTTTATTTATATTTAAATTTATTTATTTTTCATTGGCTAAAAATGTGTATAATTTATTGTGTACAATATGAGGTTATGAAATATGTGTGCATTGTGGAATGGCTAAATCATGCTAATTAACATATGCATTACCTTACATACTGTTCATATTTTGTGAATTGTTTGCTTTTTTGTTAATTTGTTTCTGCCTTTCACAAAATAGTAGTACTTGGATCAGTGTAATATATGAATCAGAACTACTGTCAGGTTTTAGCAGCATTATCAGCAACAGTAATATATTCTAAATACCATTTAAACTGAGGAAAAAAGAAAAAAAAACTTCGACAGTCCTGTCGGTGTAGAAGATTGTAACTAAGTTCAACAACTACTTACTGAGTGCCTGCTAATTGATAAACATTAATTGAACACCTGTATTTAGTACCATGGTGGGCACTTTCAGGAATGCCAAAAAAAAAAATTTTTTTTTTTTAAAAGATGACCGGTAAGGGGATCTTAACCCTTGGCTTGGTGTCGTCAGCACCACGCTCAGCCAGTGAGGAACAGGCCATCCCTGTATAGAATCCGAACCCGTGGCCTTGGTGTTATCAGCACCACACTCTCCTGAGTGAGCCACAGGCCAGCCCTAATGCCAAAGAATTTTAAGATAAAGAACCTGCTCTCAAGGAAACTATTATCTATCCTGAGGCTCTTGATCTTAGAAACCTTAGAGCAGGAGGTATATTCTACATTTTATTAGGATATGATCCAAAGCCAAGAATGATCTCTCAGTCTTCACAAACTTTTTTCAGGTATGGCTAAATGAGTACCAAAAAAAGCCAGTTGTTTCTGAATCCCAGCTAACTCAGGAACGTTTCTTCACCTAAGGTTTATACACCCAAGTGGAACCCAGGTGCGTCCCAAGACGCAGCAACATCATTTGGTTGGTCGCTCTGCTGCTGCCCTTCTGTGATACCCGTCCTGTCCCTATTGAGGTCATTGGTGCTTAGATCATTTTACCTAACACTGACATTAATATTAACATTGACAAATCACTGCTGAGTATGCAAGGGACTATGAAATTCTATAAGAAGCTTCTAATGAAAATGTACCCTCTCAGTAAAATAAATGCTCAGAATCTTTTAATTTTTTTTTTTTCTTTTAGAACCTCGATCCATGGCAGAGCCAGGTAAAAATCATTTCAACTTTAACTTATTAGTATATGATGAGTGATTTGATATATATAAGAAACATACTGAAATTACACTGGTGTCAAGAAAAAGTGAAAGATAATGTTTTTTTAAAAAGATCCAAACAAACTCTAGCTACTATTATAGGAGAAGAGAAGGGAGCACGTACATATTTGGAATATATATTCAATGCTTGATATGAATGCAGTTAGTTCTTGATTATTAGGGAGTGTTTCTTAGGAGTATTTCCCCTCTGTCCTTGGCATCTACCCATCCCCTCCCAGAACTGGTGGGTATCTACTATGCTAGCTCAGTTCCAGTTCCACAGCCTATGGGTCTCAAAACTTTTGCATCAGATTTTGAAATTTGCAGAGATTCAATAAAATGTCTGTGATGTTATTAGATTTGGTCGGGAGGATACTAAGATGCGATAGGAAGAAGTGATAATAGATGAACCTCTTAATACACATTTCTCTCAAACCAGGGCATAAACACCTGAATGCCCTCTCTGTGACCACCCTAAAAAATCAGATTGTATTGGTACTTCTGGGTGAGAAAGACACTTTGGAATTTCATTATTATAATTCTCTCTTCTGACAAGTGAATGGAAAGGCATTCCAGAAGTAGACACTGGACATCCATGTTGCATGGTTCTATACAAGTCTCCTATATATACATAGTAAAGACCAGAAATGGTCTCCCTCTTGTATTGCTTGTAGTGAAGTAGTATTTTTCCCCTTGAAAATATTTCAGGCCTTTGACACTTCCATCCAGAGTGGGCCTTTTCACTAAGCCCAAAATACACAAAATAATTTTCGAGTTACCCAAAAGGGAACCCTGCCCTAAACAAGTCCTCTTCCCAGCTCACTTGGTTCAAGCGCGGTGGTGCTGATAACACCAAGGTCTGTAATTCAATACCTATACTGACCCGCAAAAAAAGAAAGAAATTCCACAGCTAGAGAGTTTCTCCTTCCACCTTGCATAATGCAAATATCCTTTGGAGCCAGAATATTTTATCTTATCAGGGAGGTACATTGTAGTGTGAATGAATTTATCAGAGCACTTCCTGGAAGCGTGTTGCTGAAGGATGAGGGTATGAATGTTTGGAGAACAGAGAGAAGGAAGCATTGGCTGGGGGACTCAGAAAAAGGTCAGAGAGGTCCCCAAACCAGTCTTTTCCACTACATCATTTAGGATTCTTTGGGTAGCAAGTAAAGAAGACCAGTTGTTCTCAAGGCATTAATATAGTCAGCTTCTTATACCGGCTCTTGTAGAATCATTACCTCACATCAGTAAATTCCATTTGCATAACTAAGTCAGTAATCGTTCTGTTTCATTGGCACGTAGAGGAGATTTGCACTTTGGTCATTGCTGAGGTGTTTGCAGAAGACTCTGGGTGCTTCACGTGTACCGCAAGCAACAAGTACGGCACCGTGTCCAGCATCGCGCAGCTGGACGTGAAAGGTACAATGCAGAACAGCCTACGCTATGCCTTTGAGCATGAGTCTGCAGAGTCTGTGCTGCCTTCCTTACTGCTTTCCACATGAAGCTAGCTTGGCTCTCCTAAAAAGATTTGAAGTATTGAGGAAAATGTTCTTGAATGATGTCCAATTTTCACTTTCTTGTTGCACTTAGAGCCACCACCACCACTACCCCAGTTATCCTGCTGTCATCCTTATACTTCCTAAGAAAACACTTCCGTGGGCTTATATAAACTTCTAAAAATATTTCCAAAAGAGTACTTAGATTTTTAATTTAGTTTTTTCCCTGCATCCTCACCATTCTTTAATGCCCAAGATTATGATCTGGTTTTGACAAGCATTTTCCCATTTGTATACATGCCCCAGCTCGGGGTTACAATCCTATCTCAGTCTCGTTGGATAAGGCTAACGCTCGGGTCCTGTGACTGTCCTTTCAGGAAATGAAGACCTCAGCAATAACGGGTCTCTTCATTCGGCCAGCTCCACCACCAACTTGGCTATTATTGAGCAACAGCCATCTCCGCCCAACCCAGAGCCTCCTTCTGTGGAACAGCCCCCAAAACCCAAACTCGAAGGGGTTCTGGTGAACCACAATGAGCCCCGGTCAAGCTCCAGGATTGGGCTCCGTGTGCACTTCAACCTGCCTGAAGATGACAAGGGAAACAAAGCGTCTGAGGGTGGGATGGCAGCCACCAGCCAGTCCAGGCCCAATTCTTTCCAGGAGAGGTTCAATGGACAGGCAGCAAAGATCCAGGAGCCTTCCTCACCTGTCAAAGAGCCCCCTCCAGTTCTGGCCAAACCAAAACTGTAAGTACAAATGAGAGTGGGTGACCAAGAACACCTGTGAGCTTCTCTTAGGTGTAACTTTCTTTTAAATGATGGAGCTCAAAAAGGGAATTACCAACTGAGAAAATACACATTAAATACTTTGCCAAAAGAACATTCTTACATCAGTGTAAGAGTACTGTGCTACCATTTTTATTATTAATATTCTACCTCCAGCAATGTTGAGCCTAAACTAATTCAGGAAGACATTTGTCCAGTGTTAGAGGCCCCAGGTAAAGCACTTCTGGGCTCTTCTTGTAAAGCCCTGTCTTGTGTCTAATAATCTTTATAGTCTATAATTTCCTCCTTATATTTCTCATTTCTGCTTCAGCTTAAGCTTTTGAAGTAATTATGGAAAAGCTATTTAGTATTTTTCAGATAGTTCCTTGCTATTGCGAGATATGCTCTAGTACCCATAGTAGGCTTTGTATAAAAATAATAGGATGAAAGAAGAAGTAGTCATGACTTTCTGACTCAATGCAGGAGCCTGCTGTGGTTGTCCCCCTAACTTTGTAGAGAGCCTCTGTCAGAGCCATGCTGCAATGTATAAAGTTCATCCAGAGCAAACACAGAGCATGATACTACTCTTATGTTTGGTTTTATCCACACATCAAAATGATAGAAATTATGTTTATAATTACATACACCTCTAAATACCAACATCAAAATCTATAGCAACAGCGCTCCCACCATGCGCCCCTCAGGGCTGACAATGAGATGATCATTGTTCATGTTGTTTAGGTTTATATTCTTCTCACCAGCACATAAGGCAGAATTCTGGGCATTAAATTCAATCCTATGAAACATGCCTCTAAGCAAGTCAAATTCAGAAATATCGCTATCCCCTCAAAGTTCTGCTGGTCACAGGGAACAGGAATCCCTGCGCGCAGGGATGGGAAACAAAAATCAGTCAAGTCCTTCAAGAGAACTGGAGAACTGAGCTAGGCCTCCTCGCCTGTCACTCATGCATCACATGGTCAGTCTAGCCTCTGCCCAGAAGCTGGCAGGGCTGGCTCATGCTCTGTCTGTCTGAGCATTTCCTTGTTTCCTCTTTACATATCTGCTCTATTCTTCTCTCTTTGAAGACTTGTCAATTCATACATCACCCATCGTGGCCATGTCCCCATTATACATCATGATCTGTGTCAAGTAAGTACCACTGCTAACTAAATTGTTCTTAGCAGCTCGATTCCAAATTCCAATTGGTCCAGCCCAGTCAGGTGACCCTACTTCTACCTCCAGTCTATTCATCTGTGCAGAGGATTTATATTTGGAAAGAAGAGTCATATGGATCAAATCAGGAACTGTGGGTGGGGTAAGGTCCAGAAAAGGGAGTTATGGGGAACAGGTAACCCCAAACAGCCTCCTTGGGAAGTGCCTTCTTTGTAGGGCTTTCTCTTACACAGACACTGTTTTAGGGGCTATTAGTACGTCCGTTAGGATTAAGTTGAGCTTCATCTTACAGAACACTCAAACAAACAGGGGTTTAGCACATGAGGGTTTGTTTTCTCTCACATAAAGGCAGTAGACAGGGAGTCTGGGGCTGTTATGGTGGCTCCATGGTCATTAAGAATCACTTCTATCTTTCTACTCTGCCATCCCCCACACTGGCTTCTTCTCCAGGTCCTCTCAGGGCACAACATGGCTAATGGTGGTCTGGTCGTCACATCTGCATTTTAGACATCAGGAAGAGCAGATGAGCAGAATTCACACTCTTGGTGTCAGAACCCCTTTTAAGGAGCCTTCTTAGTGGTCTCGCCCAAAATCTGCTTTTATATCATTCACCAGAATTTAGTTACATGATTAGATACTGGTTGCAAAGGAGGCTGGGAAGGTGCTGCATACATTACCACCATGAATAAAATCAGGTTCTTTTACAAAGGGGAGAATTATGTAGACAGCAGTGTCTGCCATATAGGACTTTCAATTAGTATAAAAATTCTTTCTGCTAAATTATGTAGTGACATCCTCTAAAAACCCAGTCTCAGCACTATATAATTCTTTAATACTCTTTGCCTTCCTTAAGTTTTCTCTTTTTTTCCTGTTTGGCAGCAGGCTGCTGATATGGGGATTTGAACCCTTGACTTTGATGTTACAACACTGTGCTCTCACCAATTGAGCCAACCGGCCAGCCCCTCAAGTTTTCTTTTAATTGTATATATATATGTTTATATTAGTATAGGTATAAATACACATATGTATGTGCGCACACACACACACACACCCCTTTGTAAATCCACATGCCTTTTCTTACTAGTTCTAACCTCATTGGTTTTTAACCCCACAGATTTTTAAAAATTTATTTTTTATTATTATTATTATTTTACATTCTAAGATGTTGTTGTGGAGCAGTTGGGGGAGGGGGAAAGGGGAAAGGGTGAGGAATACAGAGGGAGGAGGAGGAAGGGGGGCATGGTAGAGGCCTGTGGCACCCCCTCATTCTGGCAGGGGAGCCTGGGGCACTACTTGCAGCAGCTCGGTGGTTGTCACTGGACTGGATGCTGATGTCAGGGGGGTGCAGTTGAGACGCTCAGCACCTCCTTGCCCCAGCTTGAGAGCCCGGGGGCTTCTGGTCCTTCTAGATTTTATAGGTATTCTTTGGTGGTGTTAGACCTTCATTGGTTGATATCAGAAGTTTGTCTCTGATCCGTGGGTGTTTTGTGTTTTCTTTCAGTTCTGTGTTGGATTACTAGCTACTGCCACCACTCAAATGCTGCACTGGAACTAATTTGTTGTCCTTTGCTTACTTCTAAAATGGGGGAACTTCCTGTAGGGACCAGCACTTGAGCCCTGTGGTTGAGCTAAATTGCTGCTTTGCTGCTGATTCACTGGGGAAGGCTATTTGTGAAGCTCAGGTTTTAATTGTTGACCTAGTAAGCACTTCCTGGTCTCCTGAGGTCTGGTATTGGTGAGGTCTGGTCCACCTGGGTTGTGTGGAAACTTTGGTCTGGGCCTCAGTCTCTTCAGCAAACTACACTCCTGGAAGTTCTGTATTCCTGACCAGTCTCCACTGAGTGGTCCTGCATGGATTAGAGGGCAGATTGCTGTCCATGCTGTGCCCCAGTATTCCCCCGGTGGGTCCATATCCCCCACTGCCTGCACTCCAAACACTTCCCCGGCCTCTAAGTGGCTCCTTTTTTCAGTTGTCTGTGGCCCCACATCCTGTGTGGGTCCACAGGAACCCTGTTAGTGGTCCTACTGGCCTGGGGGCCACCAAGGCCCTTTTCTCCCCCGCAGCCTCCAAGCAACTTCATGTGAAGGGTACAGCAGCAGCTTTTGCCAGCTCTTGTTCTGTGTGCTCACCAAGGCCAGACTTAAAGTGTCTGGGGCTCAAAACATTGGAGTGGTCCCTTCTTTCTCTCATAACGGCTTCTCCTGCCTCCACGCACTCCCTACGTCTCTCCTCCTCTTCCCCTGAGCTCTAGCAGCCCCAGCTTGGCAGTCATTGCTTTTTAATAGTTGTAAATTGGTTGATGTGAGAGAGGGTAATGCTGGGGAGCATCTAATCTGCCATCTCGATTCTGAATGTGTACCTAACCTCACAGGTTTTGCAATAACATGTATTGACTCAGTCTTCTCGAGGATACAATTTTATGCTAGTTCCTTTGGAAAAGAGAGATAATTTAGATCTTAAAACTACAATAGAATGGGAAGCCATCATTTTTAAATATTGTGTCATCAAAGCCTAGATACTTCCAACTTTAAAATTTTCAAGTTGAATATCAAGCTGTCTAGAGCAGTGATTATTCAACCTGGCTACACTCTAGAATAAAATGTGGAGCTTTTAAAAAATATTTATGCCCTCCTTTGAATTGAATCAGAATCTCTCCACAGATTATGTTAATGTGCAGTCAGTTTGGAAACCAGTAGTGTAGAGTTAGAGAAATAACCTGAGTTGCAACCCTTCCCTACCCCCGACCCATCCACACCCAGGAAAAAACAGTAACATTTCAAAGTGAGTAAAATGTCAGACAAAAATCAGAATATACTAGGAAATCCTATGCTTTGGGGACAAGTGTTTCTTCAGAGCAGTGGTTCTTAGCCCTAAGTGCATGTAAGAATCGCCCAGGGCCTTGTGGTAGGTGGACCAGCAACATCAGCATCACCTGGGAGCTTAATAGAAATGCAGCCTCTCAGGCCCCACCCCAGGGCCTGAATCAGAAATTCTGGGGGTGGGCCCCTGACATTTGTGTTTTAACAAGCCCTCCAGAGAATTCTGAGGCTTGCTAAAGTTTAACAACTAACCTATATTTTAAAAGATAACTCTGCCTGGATCCCTTCCCAGGCCAGTTAGTTTTCTGGGCAGTGGTGCCTAAATCAGTGAGGTTTGTTTGTCTTTTAAAGTAACCAGCTCAGTGACTGCTGCTAAAACCACAACATATTTCCTTAGAATTGGTTATCCTAATCTAGGATGTGCAGGCAAATATTTAACAACTGATGGGTGGGAAAGCCCTGATTGGTAGCATTTGCCAATTTCTTCCCACTATGGTGGTTTCAAGCTACTAAGAGAAGGTCTTTGAATGGGTAGTGGGATGAGATGTACACAATCTGTTCTTCAGAGCTGGTAAGAGCTGGCTCCCCACACATTGCCCAAAACTGTACTTGGAACAGTACTTGATATAGTATCCCAAGTTTGTTTAGTTATGTTTGTCTGGCATTTCCAATAATTCAAAATTCCTAAGAAATTCTTTTGTATTCCTTATCATTCTGAAACTCTGAAATTCATTCTTACAAACCTTGAAATTGACTTTTGTAGTTCAGAAACTAAAAAATATAATTGCCACTATTTATTGATCACTTATATGTTTTAGGTGATTTATCAATTCTCACAACAACATTAAGAGGGTTTTTTTTAAGGTTTATTTTTTTAATTTATTTTTTATTAGCATATTCATTGTTACAAATCATACTTATTCTTTATGCCCCTTATCCAATCCCCCCCTTATCGTCTCCCTTTCCCTTCCTCTCCTTATCCCCCGCCCCCCTCTAATAACCATACATTTGTTCTCTCCATCTGATAGATTAACCATTCCTCTGTTGGTTTGTTGCCTAGATATCCAGTACTGAGACAGTTGTGATCAGGTTCTCTCCTATTATCATAAATCAGATGCTTGTGCTTTGTGGAGAGAGAGGACCTCTTTTTTTTTTGGTCTCCACTGGTGCCTCTCCTTGTGTCAATACAGTTGAGAGTCTAGTGTGCCATCTGCACGGTGGCTGTGACTGCTGCGATAGAGACTAGCCAATTTTGCGGCAGCTGTGGCAGTTGTGGTGGCTATGGTGGGCTACCGGTGTGGAAACAGTGTTTTTGGTCTGCTCTTTACCTGGGTGCATATTATTACTATTTTACTTATGAGGGAATCAGAGTCGGAAAGTCAAGAAACCACCCAAAGCCACACAGATAATAAATGGCAGAGCCAAGATTAGGACCTAAATCTGTCTGTCTGCAGAGCTCATATGCTTAAATTAAGTTGTGGCAAAAGGGAAGAGATTTTAAGGTGATCAGAGAGAGTTGACACATCTACAGAAAGAAAGCTTGGGTATAAAATTGACTTCATAAATCTTCATAGCAACAAGAAATGAGCAGCTGAATTTGTAGCAATTCTTGACAGGCTGTCACTTTTTGAATTAGAGGGGTTACTCAGGATTTTAGAACTAGTATGGTTTGTAATTAATATTCCCTTCTATTCTTTCATTGCACTTTGTACTTTCATTAAGAAATGGTAAATAAGTTTCAGATGTTATTTGTAAATAACCACTGATTATTTGTGTTATAGGTATGTATGCCACACTAGATTTTTTAGAACACAGTAGCTCATACTGTCACAGATATATTTGTGTCTCCTCCAGTACCTAACAAAGGAGACACACAGAATACTCAATTACTCAATAAAAGTTCATTGAATAGAATTAATACCTTGCCCTGTGATGAATAAGCTAGCGTAATGAATAAGCTAATCCAAACAGCTGTTTTAAATACCTTCTGAAACAAGACAGGGTTTTTTGGTTTTTAGGTTTTGGGGGGTGTGGAGGGGATCTGTTTAAACAAAAAGACATTCTCAAATGAATTCCTCCAGAATCTTAGGCAATCAAAATAATTTGACACTGTATCTTACATATTATTTCATTTAAGTTCTGTGACCCTCTGCAATCCAATGTATTGCATTAAATGGTAAGTGCTAACATGCCAGCTGAAGTCTTGCTTAAAGGAGAAACCTGGATCTTAGATTTTATTCAATAGGAAGTAAAGGAAAATACGAATCATTCAATACCAAATGATTTCCTGACCCCTCTTTGTCATCCTTTTCTTTCTAAGATTATCTACTTTTCATGTATTACCTTTTCTATTTCCATAGCCACAATTAAATATTTCTGCAACATTGTGAGATTAAAATTTACTCAGGCTACAAACATGTCCTGAAAACCACATGCCACTCTTTGTTCTATAGCAATCATAGAATGTAACCTGCCTAATACGAGATCTGTTAAAAATTAAAAGGTTTTATATTTTCTACACTATGCTGGTATTGCTAGTAAAGTCAACACCAATAGAAACAATGTTAATTGCATATATTTTTCTAAGGAAACTCCAACAAAAATATTTCTGCTTCTCTTGATTGCTGAATCTTTCATCTACGAAGTAATGAAAAGGTTTAACTAAAATTTAGTTATATTACTTTATTCTCTCAGCTTAAACACTCACTTCTAAAAAGGGGGTGGAGATAGTTACTATGCCAAGTGGCTAATACTCCTGAATTCTTAGACTGAAGACAAAAGGTCTTTCATGGATAAACAAAGGATTTCACAGAATGTAGCATTCAACAGCAATAATGGAAGCAGAAATGGGTCTCTGTTTTGTGAAGTTACTTTTTCCACATATAGTGTGTCAGAAGTGTTAATGAAGGGAAGGAAAAAGGTCTTGAACTCCAAAAATTAAGAAAAATCAAGACTTGGAGAACCTTCTGGTTCAACTTTGTTGCTGTTGGTGTTGACTTTCCAGAAGGTCTGAAAATACAAAACCTTTTCATTTTTTTTTTTTTTTTAATAAGATGACCGGTAAGCGGATCTCAACCCTTGGCTTGGTGTTGTCAGCACCACGCTCAGCCAGTGAGCAAACCGGCCATCCCTATATGGGATCCGAACCCGTGGCCTTGGTGTTATCAGCACCGCACTCTACCGAGTGAGCCACGGGCCGGCCCAAAACCTTTTCATTTTTAATAGATTTCACCTTCAGGAGATCATGCGGTTTGTCCCAGAAACAACACGTATTTCTAAAGAACATAAAACCAGTGTCCTTGAAACACTGTGATCCCACATGAAGGTCTTCCCATGGTTACTCATTTAAGAGTAGATTCTCCTAAACAGCAATATTTGGCAGCCTTGATGACTTTATGAATATATGATTTTAAGACATTTTTGTTCCATTTTCTTTCTTTTTTTTTTTTTTTCCTTTTCGTCACCGGCAACGGGATCGCAACCCTCGGTGTTGTGCCCGCACCTCGCTCAGCCAGTGAGCGGCCGGTCTGGATGTGGGATCCGAACCCTCGGCGGGAGCGCCGCCGCACTCCCAAGCGGCGCACTATAGCAGTGCGCCACCAGGCCGGCCCTCCATTTTATTTCTTAAAAAGTCATTAACTGTTTTGGACCATGGAACTTAAGGCAAATCATGTAATGCCTCTGTGACTCAAGTTCCTATAAAAGGAGAAACTGCTCCCAACTTGATCTTTTTTCTCCTTTTAGGAACAAGAAAAGTCTAAGACTATTTATAATAGGGTGACCACATAATATATCATTCAAACTAGGTCATTTTTGAGAGTGAAAATGAGTGCCATTGATAATTATGCTGGGAAAAGATGTGTGAGCCGGAACTGTCCTGGATGAATGGGGACATATGCTCATCTTATCTATAAAGGTTTGTTGTTGGGAGAGGATGGAAAACACTAAGACACATCCAGCTTTTTTGTTAAGGTTTTCCACTATAACAAGGCAGAGTGAAGAATACAGCACATTCTCTTGGAAAACTCAATCCCCTTCAGTAACTCACAGCAGTGTGTAGCTAAGTGCCTTCTGTTCCGAAGCTGGGATACTGTCTGCTGGTCATCAGAACTTTGAAAACTGCCAAGAGGAGGAACATTGTCTCTATTTCTTTTTTCTAATTTATAAACATTCTATGTTGCACAACTCCAGAGTCACAACACAAAGAATGCGATGCAAGTGATGCCCCGTAGGAAGAAGGCTGATTTATGGCCACTCTGGTTGTTGCTTAATCAGCACCAGGTTATACACAGCCTGTCTGCACAGTTTCTGAAAGGTGAGGCCCATGGTAATGCATTTCCCTTCTCTCCCCTTGCTCTTGTTTTTCGTGCAGCGATTCCACTCAGTTACAACAGCTTCACAACCAAGTCTTACTGGAACAACAGCAGGTGCAAAATTCATCTCCTTCATCTCCTAAGGAGTTTCCTTTCAACACAAGCACCTTCAACTCCACCGCCCTCGCGGCGGTTACAGTGTCCAACAAGCAGGTGAAGGCGCCTTCATCACAGACATTCAGCCTGGCCCGGCCGAAGCATTTTTTCCCCTCCACGAGCAGCACCGCAGCACCCATGTCCCCTCCCGGCTCTCCCGTGGTCACCTTGAGCAGCACTCCTCAAACTCTTCAGAGGACAGTGAGCAAAGAAAGCCTCTTTGTTTCTCACCCCTCCGTGCAAACCAAGTCTCCAGGAGGGGTTTCCATCCAAAACGAGCCACTCCCTGTGGGCCCGACAGAGCCTGCGCAGCCACCACTCACATTTTCCCTCCCCAGTGGAAACCAGTTTCAGCCCCGCTGCGTGTCCCCATTGCCTGTTTCTCCCACCAGCCGGATTCAGAACCCAGTGGCTTTCCTCAGCTCGGTTCTGCCTTCTCTCCCCACCGTCCCACCCACCAATGCCATGGGGCTGCCTAAGAGTGCGCCATCTGTGTAAGTGTCATTGAGGTTTCTCAATGTGAGAGGTGCTAATTAAGAGGGGACATATGCGTAGTATAGCTTGGTCTGGGACAGGCCTCTCATTTGGTGGATTCATAGATAATCTTGTGTCTTAGACACAAAATGGATCTTGAACACCACAGGACAAAGAGCATGATTATTTTTTATTTTTTTTAATTTACCTTTTTTTTTTTTTTATAAAGATGACCGGTAAGGGGATCTGACCCTTGACTTGGTGTTGTCAGCACCACGCTCTCCCAATGAACTAACCGACCATCTCTATATAGGATCCGAACCTGTGGCCTTGGTGTTATCAGCACCACACTCTCCCGAGTGAGCCACGGGCCGGCCCCGAGCATGATTATTTTGAATAATTTTTAATAATTAAAATATCAAAAAGACCTTTGCAAGCACAGATTCTTTCAGTGCTCAACTCTGTAGTGTCTAATGACTGCTGGTATCTGGTTATCATTTCAACCACTGGCCAGTGCTTTTCATGGGTGTGTTGGGTGTGCATTTATTTTCAGGCCATCCCAGGGACTAAAGAAGAAAAATACCAAGTCTCCTCAACTGGTGAACGATGATTACATTCGTGAAACTAAGAATGCAGTGATTCTAGACTTGGGGAAAAAAATGAATTTCAGTGACGTCAGATCAAACCAGCAGGTAAGACCGTTGGACTCAAATGGTTTATTGGAATTTTACTATAAGGAATATAATTTTGCTTAATTTAGACCTGGATACTCAGGTCATCTGACCTCGGTGAGGTTGATAACACAACTTAGATGACAGACTAACCAAGGGTCATGTAGAAAACACGTCCTCATGAACCTGCAGTTCTTGGTTACCCCAGTAGTTAATTCAGTTTACTTGTTTACGTTGGCTTACCTCGAATAGAATGTATTGAAGAAGCGGAGAAATTACATAGTCCGTTGTCCATTCCAGCAATCCTCAGCTCAGTTTTAACAAACACAGTCACATCTTTGAGATATTTCCATAGGTGAGCCTTGAGGTGATCTAGACTTTAAGGAACTCTGAGGTTCTGAGCTGTCCTTTATTTGACGTCCTTCGGTCGAATGTGCCTGGAGGTCTGATCACCAGTTCCTCTCCATCTTTATATTAGGTTGTCATGGGGGATAGCCATCAGGCAACATCCTGTGGTTCAACCTGTACAACTCCTTGCTTTCGAGTAAGTGTTTACACCGAAAGAGAAAGAGGAAAGCCACAAGCGAGCATCACACAAACAAAAGAAGGATAGACTGAGTATATTCTTATTTGAACAAGTTATTTTTGCTTTTGATAATCAAGTGTTATTTTTTAATGCAAGCTTACATTTTAATAATTTAATTCTTGATTTATTTTCCAAGATGGAAACTGATAAAATCTATTTGGAAATATAACAAAATTTCAGTCAAAATAATATGATAAATATTGTGGAATTTGTGACTTAAGTGACTGCTGGAAACAAAAGCACCAGATTTCCCTGACCATGTGCTGTTTTCCTTAGTGTTTCTGTCTCTTACATCCAGTGGAGCCACAGATATATAGTATTTTGCAATCGTGTTATATATTGGACAACTGTTACTGAGAGGAGTCTTTTTTTTTTCATTTTTAAAGAAAATGTAATTATATTAATATTATTTTTTACATTCTAGGATGTTGTTGCGGAACAGTTGGGGGGGGGGATGAGAAAAGGGAAAGGAAATGGAATGGAAGAAGGAGGAAGGAGGAAAGGCAGGATTGAGGCTTGTGGCATCCCCCATTCCCATAGGGGAGACCGAGTGGCTTCCAGTGGTGACTTGGTCATTGCTGGGCTGGGAGCAGATGTCAGGGTGTGTGGCAAAAGCCCTTACCCCCCACCATCCCAGCTTGGGAACCCGGAGCCCTTCTTGCTGCAGCTTGGTGGTCATCACTGAGCTGGTTGTATGTGTCGGCGGGGAGTGGCTGAGGTCCAAGGCCCCCTACCATCGTGGGTTGGGAGAGCCTGGGACACTTCCTGTGGCAGCTTGGTGGTTGCCACTAGGCTGGCTGTGGGTGTCGGGGGTGGTGTGGTCAAGGCCCTTGGGCCCCCCACCAGCCTGGGTCAGATCTCAGGGCACTTCCTGCAGCAGCTCAGTGGTTGCTGCTGGGTTGGCAGTGGGTATCCAGGGGGCGTGGCCAAGGCCCTAGGACCCCCACCACCCTGGCTGGGAGAGCCCAGGTTGCTTCCTGTGGTGACTCCGTCGTCGCAGCTGGCTGGCTGCATGCGTTAAGGGGTGTGGCCAAGGCCCTCATCCCCTACCTTCAAGATTGGTTGCAGGTGTGGGGGGCATGGCTGAGGCCCCCAGCCCTCCTCCCTTTCTGGCTTGGTAGCCCAGGGGACTTCTGGTCCTTCTAGGTATTATAGGTGTTCTTTCGTGAAATGAGACCTTTACTAGTAAATATGAAACTTTGAATCTCGTTGCAGGTACTTGGTTTTTTCTTTCATTTCTGTGTTGGATTATTTGCTGCTCCCACCATTTAAACTCTGTGCTGGAACTAATTTGCTGTCCTTTGCTTACTTCTAAAATGGGGGAACTTCCTCTGGGACCAGCACTTGAGCTCTGTGGTTAGCTAAACTGCTGCTTTGCTACTAATTCCCTATGGAAGGCTTTTTGTCCAGTTCAGGTTTTAATGGTTGACTTGATAGGTATGTCCGGCTCTCAAGAGATCTGGTGCACCTGGGTTGGCAGAAACTCTGGTCCGGGCCTGAATCTTTTCATCAAACTGCACCCCTTTGCAATTCTATATTCCTGACCAGTCTCCTCTGAGTGGTCCTTCACTGATTGGGGGGCAGGTCAGCTGTCCTTGCTGTGCCCCAGTGTTCTCCCAGTGGGTACATCTCCCCCACCGCCCATGCTTCAGACACTTCCCACAGGACAGGCTGTGCACCGGTCCTTTACGATGATTCACCAGCCTCTGAGTGGCTTCTTTTTTTCAGTTGTTCTGGCTCCTTGCTCTTATGTGGGTCCACAGGAACCCTATTAATGGTCTTGCTGGCCTGGGGGCCATCAAGGCCCTCTTCTCCCCTGCCGCCTCCAAGCAACTTCATCTGAAGGGCACAGCTGTGGCTTTTGCCAGCTCCCACTCCATGTGCTCTGCAGCTCCAGCCTGGACGCAGCCGAGGTTTGAAATGGTCAGAGCATTTTTTCATTCTCTCATTGTGGCTTCTCCTGCCTTCATGCACTCCATAGGTTTCTCCTCCTCTCCCCATGAGCTCTAGCTGCCCCAGTTTGGCTGTCGTTGTTTTTTTATAGTTGTAAATTGGTTGATTTGTGGAAGAGAGTGACACTGGGGATCATCTATTGCACCATCTTGACCGGAAGCCTCAGGATTCTTTTGAAAATGTGCTACTTAAAGCTTTTTAAAAATTGACTTAAAATTATTGAACTGAAGCAGAATATTTAAACTTGCCATAACTGACTACGCTTTTAATATATTATTTCACCAAATAATTTATATTTCTGGGAGGTGAACACCAAGGCAACTATTCTTCTTTTCCATCTTGTAGATAGAGAAACTAAGGCACAGTTGTCAAACAGTCAGTGGTGGAATTAGAACTAGAGCTCTGGTCTCCAGGACATTTTCACATTTTTGGTGAAACTGCAGCATTTTTCAGTTTTATGACAATTACTTTCAAGCCCCATAAATGTTGCCCTGTCTAACGCAGATTTGTTTTCCTTTAACACTGTCACCACATTTATGGATGTTAATCCTGTTAAGTGTCTTGAAATCAGAGCCATGTTCAGTCTATGTATTTTACAACTCAGAGAGGGAACAATTAGAACCCTGTAAAAATGGTACCAGTTCAGCACATAAGCTGATTTTTCTTTTATTGTTACTCTGTCAGTAGATCTAGGCTAATCCGTTGCCCAACTCAGGGGAAAGGAAGAGTTTTCTCTTAATTACCTGAGATGTGAGTACATGTAAATATGAATTTCCATGAACTGAGTGCCATAAATCCAGTAGAACTCTTTCTTAATCCTCCATCATAAATTAACTTCAGGGCTAATAGCAGGAACTGGGAAAGTCTCTAAAAGCATCTCAATCCTTTCCATCTGAATATCTGTGCCACGTGTCAGTCTCGTTCTGAGAATTATTACTCCAAGAATTATTATGGTTGGTTAATTACAGAATTGGTCTTGGATTTCATTCTGTGCCATGGATAATGAAATCCAGGCTGCATTCAGGTAACTAAGGAACTGTCTGCGATGGAATACTTGCATTAGGTTGGCAGATGTTGATTCTGAGGAAGTTTTGAGAAATGGAATTATGACTACATTATAATATTGTTTTGTCCGTTGATGCCTTGGGAAATGATAGTAAAAATGTCATGAAGAATTGTCTAAAATGTACTTTGGCCCCTTGGTGACGTAAAGAAGAAAGTTAGCTTAGAAAAATGTAAGAAACAAGTAGAGAACAACCCAAGAAACACTTTGTATTGATAGTCATCCATACCTGCAGTCTGGAGACACAGGAATCAAAATGATCTGTTTTCTCACTTGTCGGGTCCGCCGCCAGCAGCCGACCGGTACAGCCCTAGCCTCATTCCTTTCAGTGGGCGAGCGAACGGCCTGGGATTCCTCTTTCCCTCCAGTCCCCTTTTGAAGGAGACAGGGGAAGAGAGCCGTGAAGAGAGGTGAGCACACCACCGGTCCCAAACCAGCCCAGTTAAAGGACACTCATACACGGTGGGGGTTCTGTCAAGCAGTTCCGTTTATTAACACACAAGCATTGGCTTTTACAGGTAAATGGCAAAGGCAGGTTTTTTACATCCTCCAATCAGCTTAAGGGTTAGGGGCATGCATCCTGTCTCAATACCTAGCTATTGCAATTACGCAGTGTTCACAACTGCGGCCAATAAGGGCTAAGGCAAGGTTCCCGCAGACACTCCCACCCTGCTTTCTCCCCGCCATCTTAGGCTGCCACGTTAATCCACTTGTAATGTCACTTTAAGGTGGTGTTAGTTTTTTAAAGGCCCAACACTCACTCTCATATTCATATGCACACGTGAGGGCAGGGGGGGCAGCAAATGATTCCTATTGAAGAGGACATGTTTGTTTTTGCCTTATTTTGCTTTGAAAACTTGTAGGTCCAGAAAGCTGTATTCCCTTCCCCTATTTTAGCCTTAAGCAAATGAGGAATAGTAACTGTCCTAGAACATTTGTATGGTCTAGCATTACTACACTGTACTGAGCGTGAAAATAAACCAGAATTCCTTGAAATATGAATACTACTGCCTATGAGCAATTTTCTCACCAACACTCAAACTTATAAATTATGTTTTAGAAAATGGGTTTTCTTGGACATATCTACCACGTTGCATTTATTTCTCTGTCGTAATATTTCAGCATTTACTTTCTAACTCATTTTATATGACATTTCCAATTAGCAATTAACATTTGTTGATTCTTAGAATTTGTGAAATACAAAGGTATCATCCTGGCAGATATTTATATTTATTAAATTTTGTAGCTTTCTAAAGTGACAATGAAGTGCCTTGCATTGAGCATAAGCCAAGAGAGACGTGCCCTGATTTCTAGATTTTAGGCTGCATTATTTCTTATTTTTGAAGGGTACCATTTCTTATCAATAGGTCTTGACTGGACATCAATAAAACCTAAAAGGTTTAGGTTAGTGCAGTGAAT